TATTAGGTCACCACTTTTAGTTCTTTGCCTTTATAGTAAATCAATCCTGCTCAAAGTACAGATGGCAGGGATGTGCCATTTGCAAACTATTAACAAATGAGTACAGAAATTGAGAATAAATATTTAGAATTTTCTTAATAACAATTCAAACTAATAATAAAAATTGGGGTTTGTATTTTATATGTCTTTTTTGTTTTATATTTCTTATTATTCATTAATACTGTATTTTAAAAGAGTATTAGTCTGTGATGAATTGGAAATATTTTAAAATATTTTTTAAAAGTTGAGAGGAGTCTTTTATCATAGCTAGTTTAGAATTCACTCATTGAGTGACTTCCAGAGGGTTGTTTTTTGTTTTGTTTTGTTTTGTTTCTGGCTTTTACCACCACTCCCTTTCTTTACTTTGAGTTGTCAATTGTTACAGCTTATACAATGCCTACTTTGAGAAGCCCACTTACAAAAAAACAAAAACAAAACTCACTGCCACAGAGTCAATCCTGACTCATAGTCACCCCTCCCTGGGTTTCTGAAGCAGTATCTCTACAGAAGTAGATTGATCAATTTCCTTCCCAGGAGTGGCTGTTGGATTTGAACCACCAGCCTTCTGGTTAGCAATCAAATGCCGTAGACTATTCCACATTGAGAGTTAGAAAACCATATCCCCTTGGATTTTGAGCAAATTTAAGCTGTGAATATCTGGCCAGTCTCTCTTTTATTACAGAAATGAGCTTTGAAGCATGGGCTTTACTTTGGCTGCTCAGAGACAACTTTTTGGGTTCCATCCTTGTCTTCAGCCATTGGAAAACCCTATGCAACACAACTCTACTCTGACACAAAAGGGGTTGTCATGCAGAAGAACTGACTCAAGAGCAATTAGTTGATATTGTCATGTAAGGAATTCTCAGTACAAATATATTACCTGTATAGTAGAATATGAATCATAGGGTGATGCTTCTAAAGAACCTGTGTCTCAGTCTCTATCTCCAATTCTTAGTAATCATTTACAACTATAATATAGCAGAAAAATGTCCCCAACATAGAAAATGCCTTTGGCTTAAACCAATCATGGCAACTTCATGAGTGATCTTTCAGAAATATATCACCAGAGCTTTCTTCTGAGGCATTTCTGGGTGGACTTGAACCACTAACCTTTCTATTTGGCTTCCTATGTACTTAAAGAGTCAGAGGACAAAATTAGAAAGCATAGTTGTATAGTTGCTATTTTTCTGGAGAATTATTTGGACTTTAGGAGAGAAGAAGTTATTTTGTAAAGGCTCTACTGCATTTTAGCTGGGTTTGAACCTACCTTCTCCAAAGAACTAAGATGTTATTTTCATGTGACAATTGTGCTGAATAAATTTAGCTTTATTAGTAAGCAAAGACAGAATGGAAAATTCAATTCAGCATTCTGACTCTGCAATCCACAGAGCTAATTAAAGTGCACTATTTGTCAAAGTCAATAGAAACTCTATGTCTGGATCAGCTTAAAAGAACATTAAAAAGAGAAATGGGTTCCAGCAGCAAATGAGAGAAAATTTCCCATTCTTAAATAGAATGCTCATGTTATAATGTTTGTTTTTTCTAAAGAATTGGTGTTGAGTTTTTTGTTTGTTTGCTTTTTGTTTTAGTCATTTTAGCAGCACCCTGCCAGCAAATGAAGGAACTCTGGTGAGGCTGTGGTTAAGGCTAACTCAACTCACTGCCGTAGAGTAGGATCTGACTCATAGCCACCCCTCCTTGGGTATCCGAGGTGGTATCACTATGGAAGTAGATTGGCCAATCTTCCTTCTGAGGAGTAGCTGGTGGGTTTGAAGCACCAACCTTCTGGTTAGCAATCAAATGCTTTAGGCACACCACCAGAGCTCCTGTAATTAAGGCATTGGGCTGTTAACCAAAAGGTTGGAGCTTTGAATCACCAGCTGCTCTGCAAGACAAAGACAAAGCAGTAAAGCGTTAGAAACCCTAAGGGGGTTGCTATGTGTCACAACTGACTTAGTGGCAGTGGGTTTGGTTTGGTTTACTTGGCAAATGAAATAACTTGGCTTTTACTCCAGTACAGATAAGTACATTAAAAAATAAATAAATAAAACATTTTACAGTAGCCAAAATAAAATGCCACGGATCTTTACTATTCTCAAGAGAATAAAGAATTTTGGAAGAAATCCACAAATCATCTACTATACCATACTATTAATAAAGAAAGGAGAGAAGATGAATGCAAATGTATCCCATATATTCCCTTTTTTATCTGTTTCTCCCTTTCTCTTCCCAGAAGGGAAGAGAGATGATTGGTAAACGAATGGGTGAATACTCACCTGAACATGAGAGGCTGGTCTACATTAATCTGTCTATACTGGAGAAATTGGGCTGAAAGTAGGAGAACTTAAGACATGTATTTAAGCACTAATTAACTAAATTAGCAATTTCAGCAGCCCTGTGACTACACTGACTTTTATACTCATTGTGAGGAAATTGGAGGAGAAACTACTTCAAGAGCCATTGAGTTGATTCCAATTCCTTGCAATTCCATGTGTATCAGAGAAGAACTGTGTGCCATCTAGTTTTCAGTGGCTGATTTTTGGAAGCAGATCGCCAAACGTTGTTTCTGAGATGCGTCTGCATGAATTTGAACCTCCAACTTTTCCGTTAGCAATCACGCACATTAACAGTTTGTACCAACCAGGAATTCAGGGAGGAAAAAAAGAAAAAAAAGGCAATAAATCTGACAGGTCAAAATCTGTTATAATCCCCTGATAGAAACAGAACTCAGAAAAGATTGAATCTCTGCCCTTTGTCCTCCAAAGTGGGGAAAAAGGCACATAGAGACTTAGCAACTTGTCCCACTCTAAGCAGAGTATGACACGTGTTGACATTTTTTGCCCCTTATAATCAGGAAGGCTGGGCAATCTATTTCTGTAGTGATACTGCCTTGGAAACCCAAGGAGGGGTCGCTATGAGTCGGATCCGACTTGGCGGCTCATAACAACAACAATATAATCCAGGTCACTTTGTACAGCGATGTGTTTCCATTTAATTGCTGTGTACGTGCATCAAAAATGGGTTCATTCTTAAAGAGAAGCAGAATAAACATTGAAGGTTGCCAGCCTCAACAGGCAGAATACTCATGTCACCAAGATTTTACGGTATCTTAACTTATCTGTTTAAAAGGAAAATATGAAAATCACTACATTAACTCAATATAACCACATCCTTAAATGAAAATCATTATATTAGTTAAAGTGAGTCCCTAAATATAATTTCATTAATGTTATTTATATTTCCATAGCACTTTATAATTTATAAGGCACATGATTTCTTGAAATCTTCACAACCCTACAGTAAGTAGGGCAAAGATGATGATGATGAGTTTTTTTAAAAGATAAGCAAATGAAAGTGTGGCCAGCTTTAATGCACCTCCTCAAGATCACACAGCCAATTGGTGACTAGGTCTTCTCTCTTCATAGTCAGTGCTCTTTCTGTTGCTCAAACCATTATGCTATATCCATCATTAAAACATTTTTTGAAACATAAAGAACAAGATTATTCCTTTTCATGAAACATGTTGTATTTATAATTATAAGCAAAGGTTCAAATTACTAGTATACGTTACTATCCATAGAAATGATCCACCAAGTAACGAGCTAAAGAGAAAACACTGAGGCTTAGAAAGAAAAAAAATAGATTTGCTTAAATTTTTTTTCCTCTCTTTCTTATATATTTAAAGTTATAGTAATTTTTATTAAAGGGCCAAGGAAAACATGGAAAAATTGTGAGGCAACTCATATATAAAGCTATTTAAAAATAGAATCTTCCTTAAATTTTGTAAGGCGTTTTACTTCTTACGATGTTAAAAGCTTGAAGTTTCTCTTTTGAATTTTATCAGCCCATTAGGTATACACACAATTAAATGGTTAATTTTAGTTATGCTTGTATAGTACACAATATATTACATATCAGGAATTATATAATTAGGACAAATAGTTTTCTCTAAAGTCAGTCACTAATTAATACCTGAGATAGAAATAAAGATTTTCCATATGCTAATGTTATTTTGGAAATCCAAGGAGGGGTCGCTATCATTTTGTGAGGCGGTGGTGTTCCATGGTAGAATTCTCACCTTCCATGAAGGAGATCAGGGTTTGATTCCCAGCCAAGCCACCTCAAGTGCAGCTACCACCTGTCTGTCAGTGGAGGCTTATGAGTTGCTGTGATGCTGAACAGACTAAAGACTAAGAAGAAAGGCCTGGTGATCTCATTATAAAAATCACATGCAATTGTGCTATATGAAGGATGCTGAGTTGGAGTACAACTCAATATTCGCAAATAAAAACAAACCAAAACAAATTCACTGCCATCAAGTTGATTCCAACTCATAGCAACCTTACAGGATACAATAGAACTGTTCCATGGGGTTTCCAAGGCTATAAATCTTTATGGAAGCAGACCTACATTTTGTCCTACAGAGGGGTTGGAGGGTTTGTACTGCCACCCGTTCAGTTAGCAGCTGAGCTCTTAACCACTGAGCCACCAAACCTTCCCTGACAACAACAAAGTTATTTTAATTCCTCAATTTTGAGCCATTCAAAAAAAAATTGATTTTAACAGTATATTAAATGCTACTGAATGTAAATTATGGAAGGTAAAAATATTTCACTTGCCCTCAGGAATAACCTGCATTTTACATAACATTTTTCCTTTAATAAAAACATAATATCTTACAACATTAAGTTTTTAAGTCCATTTATGTTGAAATTTCCAATTAAATGGGTGAGATGGGATCTAAAAGGGAGAATTATTATGGAATGATTTCATTTTAAGTAGTAGTGGTATATTTTGGTCCCCCACTACCAATCTTATTACACACAATCCAGAAAATGTACATATGTTGCTTGAATTATTGTGTTTGCTGTTTATCTCACAGATACATCATCTTCAGCAATGCCTGCTGAACTGGCAACCACAATTATTTAATCATAGAATCATGCAACAGAATATATTACCTTCATACCAGAATACACATTGTCAAAACCTTCTGTCCTTCCATTAGGGTTAAAAGTTGATTCAGAGAGTAGTACTCTTTCATATATAACTTCCGAGGCTTTCAGGATGAATGTCACATTTGAAAAGATATTTGGATACTTGTAATATGTGTCTTCAGATAAAGAAAGCGCTATTGTAAGAAAAATTATTTGCAGTGTTTAGTTAATATTTTTGTATTGTATTTCATTTGTCTTTTAGTTATAAAGCTACAATTAAATTCAGTACTCGGATGCTGAAACTGTTGTACATTTCCAACATCGATACAAGATTTATAATGTCGTGTGTGACCCCTGGTGGTGAAATAGAAAACTACAAGGTAAATAATTTACACATAAGCATTTATATAATTCAGAAAGCAATTGCATAATGGTTGAATGTCCAATTAAGTATAGTTACTGCTCAACAATGCTTGGACGCTCCCAGCTGCAAATAAATCAGGTTATAATAGATACTTTATTTATAATGGATACTTGGAAATTGTAATCCTATAAACAAACCAAAGTCATTGTAACCCAACTTTCTCCAATTATATTTATTTCCAAGATGTTATTACTGACTTTTAAAGGCATATATTTAAATATGGACAATACTTAGGTCATTCAACATAAGACTATGTTATATTTAGCAGAACAATCTCTGTGCTGCTCTTTCTATAAACTTTTAGACAATCTTTGAGTTGAGTCCATCCACACAGTAGAAAAACTAATGATGACCATTCCTCTGATGGTGCTATGTGTACAGACACCAGTTACTAATAGCCTCAAGTGAGAAACAGTTGCTGAATATAGAAATATAGCCTAAGGCTCTAGTTAATAGTATTTGGTGAGAGGGCAAAATCTGGGAATTTTATTCTTAAATGAAGCAAAGTTGGTACTCTTAGGGTATATCCACAATAACAAGCTAATGTGAGAACTTGAGATTTTATTAAAATAATTTTTCAAAAATGATTTACCACCATCATCTGAAGATTTAGTGAGCTACTATGCCTAACATTGTAAGAAATAATATGATAGACATGGATTCTTATTCTGCCAGTCTACAGTCTCCTCTCAGTTTCACACCTTATTAAGTTTTGTAGTAGAGGCACACATTGGTTCAAAACATTTCTACTATTACCTTCTAATGACTCTATGACACTTCCCATCAAATATCCCTCGGTTTCTTGTATATCACCTTTCTTTCTTTCCCTTAGCCTACAACATAGCTTATCTTCTTTTTACCTTATTTTTTTATCCAAATGATTGGCTAATATTTCTCCTTCCCTTTGTAGCTATACTTTTTGAAATAATTCACAATCTCTTATCTTGTGGTGTAGTGCCTAAGGCATTTGAAGGGTAACCAGATGACTGGCCACTCCTTGGAAAGAAGACTGGGCAATCTACTTCTGTAGAGATATTGCCTCAGAAACCCAAGGAGGGGTCACTATGAGTTGGAATCCACTTGACAACAGTGAGGTTTTTTTGAGTTATCTCTTACATCTAAACTCCCACTTTACTCTTCATTGACCTCCAATCTGAATTTTACTTCTATCACTCAACTGTGGATGCTCCATCAAAATCAACAATGACTTTCTGATTGCAATGACCCATCAACAATTTTCAGGTGTCCTACTATTTAATGGAGGAGTTATTGGGTGATGAAAACAGTTAATGTGCTTAGCTGATAACCGCAATGTTGAAAGTTTGAAGAAAGGTCTGCCAATCTACTTCCCAAAAATCAACCACTGAGAAAACCCTGTGGAGTACCATACATACATGGGGTTGCCATGACTCAGAGTCTACTTGATAGTAACTGAACCTATTTAGTAAATGATTTACCACCATTTCTGTGGTAGAATTCCCTCTCTCCATGTGGGAATTCCAACCAATGTATCTCATGCACAGCTACCACTCATTAGGCAGTAGAGGCTGTGTGGTGCTATGATGTTGAACAGGTTTCAGTGGAGCTTCAAGACTAACAGACTAGGAAGAAAAGCCTTTCTTCCTCATGATTCTCACTGACTTGAGAATCAGTCAGTGAAAATTGTAAAGATCACAATGGTCCGATCTGAAACAGCTCAGAGGGACAGCATTTCCTTCTATTATATATGGAGTCACCATGAGTCTAGGACTGTCTACATGGCAGCTAACAACCTATTTAATACTTGAACTGCTCTTGATAATGTTAATATTCTTGAACCTCTGCTCTTTAGATTTCTATGTCATTATTCTTTCTGACTTCACTTTATTCTCTTTATTTGTGTCTGTTCCTCCAATACAAGCCCTAGCGGTACAGTTGTTAAGTGCTCAGCTGCTAACCAAAAGGTCGGTAATTTGAACCCACTACCCACTCTGTGGGAAAAAGATGTGGTAATTTGCTTCTGTAAAAATTTACCATCTTGTAAACTTTATGGGGTGATTCAACCCTGTCTTATAGGTCACTATGAATCTGAATTGACTCAACAGTAACAAATTTGTTTTTGGTTTTGTTTGGCTCCTCCAGCAATCCATAATTCAATAATCAGGAAGGATGTATGGCAGGGTTGTATCCTTTCACCATACTTATTCAATCTGTATGTTGAGTAAGAAGCCAAGAAGCTAGACTATATGAAAAATGCAGCATCAGGATTGGTGAAAATCTCATTAACAACCTGAGATATGCAGAAACACAACCTTGAAAGTGAAGATGACTTGAAGCACTTACTGAGGAAGTTCAAA